CTTATTAGCTTCTCAGAAGCCCTTCAACTCTTTTTCCTTTCACCATCAGTCTTTTTAAAATGTGGAAATTATTCAGGCAATAAATACAGAATGTAAATCAGGATTTAAAGGAAAAACAATTTAAGTATTTAACACAAATGATCAGCTGTTCCTTGTCTTGCTGCCGAGTTTCATTCTGAGTTAGTTCTGCTGACTTGTTAGCCTAGATCTGTTAGCTGAAGTGGGGAGAGAGTTTCCTCCTCTAGTGAAAAGGTCGAAGGCTTCCTAGCTCAGGTGCTGGCAGGTTTCCAGCATCTAACAAATATTAAAAGGAGGAAAAAAATAATCAGGCCTTAAAGGTTTGACAAATCTCTTTTAATTTTTCATGTTCTGCTCTGCAATGCCATCCTTGCTTGAAAAATGTACATCTACCTAATAATCTCTTAACTGCACTGCCAAGGTAAACAAGCTGCTTCATCACCCAAGAGCACCACTATGACAAAAAGACCCTCCAGCAGGAGTTGTCAGTTTTATTACCTTGAAATTTGGTTGATAAAAATTAAAAGTGTGCTTAATTGCACCTGATCTTAAGAGCCATTGAACTGTGTATTATATTGAAAGCTGATGCCTAATTTTGCATTTATACTGGCTGAGAAAGTGGAAAACAGACCCTTACCTTATTGTAAAATCTCCTCTTGTCTTTAAATTGGGCTTCAATAGTACTTGCAGCTTTTTCCTGGGGAAAACGGTTTACGGACTGACTCCACATAGAGAGCATTTTTATTGGAAATGGTCAGCTGTGGCTTTGTTGTTTTTGTTTTTTTTTCTCCCCTCCAACAAGGAGTTCTATTGGTTATGGAAAGCTGTGCCCCCTTTCAAGAAGCCCTAGAGGGTTTGGGGTTTTGTGGCTGGTTCTGTAGCACTCTTCAGATTTGTGCTGTAAATGGTCACCTATTTCACCCTTGCAAGTTCAGATCATTCCCCTGGCAATCAGCATTGCTATCCTAGAAAGACATCTGGGCAGCTCAAGTGAGGTGACTTCTGATTCTGGAGAGAGATGCAGGACTCAAGAGGAACAGATTGTCCATATGTTTAATAGAAGAGGAAAGCATAATTACAGTGCTTCCACTAAGCTCCTTCTTTTGAACTTACTTTTTGATAATTTCCTCTCTGCCTCTATTAACCAAGAGGGAACTTAGGAAGGCTGTCCCCCTAACTTCAGCTCTTCATCTAGGTGCTTAAACTTTGTAGTATAAATGCCTTTGCCTGAAATCCGGCCTATCCTGGTATCCTGAATAAACTCCATTTTGAGAACTTGCCAAAATCCATTCAGAAGCTGATATGTTAAATATAAATATGAAAGTGCCTATCAGTGAAGGGCCTGTGGATCATTCCTGCATCTATTCCCACAACGCTCCTAGGACTGGCAAAAAAAAAAAAAAGGAAGTAATTTTTTAAATATAAGAATGTTAATTTGTTTTCCAACTTTTAGAAAGAATTGAGCATCACAGTGATGTTTCATCACAGTTTACTCAACTAGGCTTCCTCTGCTTCAGTGCTGCCAGTAGCTTTGACCGTTGAGGCAAAGTTATGCATCACTGATGACTGCAAGCCATTGTAACCGTAAAAAAAAAAAAAACCCAACATATAGATTGTGTTCTGATTCTGGAATTAGGGTTGGTCAGCTTGCTTTTATATTTTCAGGAGCTGGGATGATTTCCTTAATGGACTTAGTTGAAAGACAAACCACTTCTGTAGCATTTAAGTGCTCTTATATGGTATTGTATTTTTTTAATTTTAAAATAATTTAAAATATTTGTGGCAAAAACTAAAATAAGGTAGTGATGTGGCTTTTAGTCTCTAAATTTAGCCATTCATGTGACTTTCATGGAAAAACTTACTGTTGTCCATTAGTAGTGAACCTTTTTGTAGCCATTTACCAGCAATGGGGATATCTAATAGAAAAGCATGTATTTGTCAAAATACTTGGTTTGATATTATTCAACAAGACTGTGGTGTCCCTGTGAGAGGAGTAACTTGATGTGGTTGCCATGTTTCTACAATGACTGTTCTCTTCAACTGTGTCAACTCTGTTCCCCACTGGGGAATTTCTAGAGAGCTGTAGGTCACTGAAACAAAAGGAAAGAGCAGCATTCTTTGTGTTTAGTGGTTACTGAATTACTTGCTTCAAAACAGTATAGCAAAAGGTAATGATAGCATATGTGCCTATATGCCTTGGAAGGTACAGTTCGTTCCCAGCTGATTGATTTACTTTATGGTGAAATGCTATAAATGAAGCTCTGCAGTTATTTGTCATGTTGTGTCTGGCTATTACTGTGGAGTGGATATTGGTTTTGCTGATATAGATGATAAATACAGTTTTCTTGCATATAACTATCTTACTGTATAGGGCTTCATTAGAAAACAAAGAAACAAATAAGAAACATAACAATATAAGAAAAGGAAAATAGATGAATGGAAGGAACCCTTCGCTTAGATCCTCAGATACTGCTTTGCAGAAGGGCTGTTTTTAATTTTTAATTAAATATCTTCACTAGATCATAAAATATGACATGTTCTGGTGTAAAATATGTAAGGTATAAATCCTTTTGAAAATTCAGATATTTTACTGTCATTTGTAAGCACAGGTTTATTAACTGTCAGCAGTTACTTTATAGTCTTCATAACTGTGTTTTCTAAGACAGTATAGATTATTTTTTTTCCCCAGTTTGTTTATGTGGTAGACTGTGGCATCCCAAAATAATGCAGTATATCAGATTTCCTTTATAACACTGACTGTTAACCAGGGAAGACAATCACATGCTTTGGCAGCTCAGCTTGTTGAAACATCACTATTAATTTTTTGATCAAAACAAAATAAAGTGAGACTAGCAAAAATCATCCTGTGGAACACTCCAAGTTACTTAAAAATTAAGATGTACTCCTCTCAATTACAGATAATTAATTAGATTATAATATTTTAAGAAAATGCTGAATCGAAGTTACTATTACTAGCCTCAATCACGTCAAAGTCAGCTTGTTGTCTAATGTGTTTGAGAGAGATTCTTGAATTTTCATATAAGCATGTACTCTCTAGCTGGTAGCTATCTTGATGAAGTTAGAGTGCCTTGTCATTGCAGTTCTGGTTTGTCTTTTCGTGACTAATAGGGGTTGATTATCTCCCAAGTCTCTGAGGAATTAAAGATGGGTTCTAGTTTTCATCCTGGAAATGCTCCATACTTTTAAACTGACTGCAGATTATTTTGCCCAGGTGACATGTGAGTGAGGTGGAAGCCGCTATGATCATTATTACATAGTTAGGTACATATCTGGGTGATTTCTAAAATGTACAGTAACATTTCATTTCTTTTCAGACATTTAACGCCTGCTTGTTCCACTCCTTAACGATAACTTGCTTTATTTTTTTTGCTTGTTGATAATGTACGTGTAAGCAAAACCTTTTTGTAACACCAGAAGCACCGACGATAACTAATAAATGGAGAGATGTGTGTGTGCTGGGACCTCCCTAACACCCAGTATCTTGACGAACATGAGTATGTGCGCACCTGCAGGCTTGGGTTTCTGACCTATCCTTTTTTCTTCTCTTCTTCTGCTATCTGGCATGCTGTGCAGTGCTCCCTCTTAATCACTATGAAGGAAAGAAACACCTACTAGATTTCAAGAAAATTGAGGTGATTAAAGTTACAAGGTAAACCCCAAAATTCAGTAGTGTTACCTTTTGTAAGTCAGCATTTCTGGTAGTTATCCCATCAGAATTCTTTGTCGATCATTTCTTACTTTTTCACCATAACAGAAGCAGAGAGCTGGGGTTAGAAAGGGCTGCTGTCTTTTCTTCACCTCTGCATACTTCAGTTTTACCATCTGGGAAAATGTTTCAGTCTTTTGTAGAGCACTGTAGTGTTGGAAAGGTGTTCTGTAATTGCAAAGCCTTCATTTTATTCACTTTTTTAAAGATACTGAATATTCTAGGTGATGTTAAGTAGACAATCATGAAAAACAATAATTAATATTTAATGTGACGCCTGTCATTAAAAAAGTTGTCACAGAATACGACACAACATTTTTCAGAATTTAGCGATAGCAAGCACCAAGAAAGCCTCTGTCAGCAGGCTGCAACTCATTACTGTGCGTTGAGATAGCCTGCGGTCCAGAAGGCAAATGTGCAACGTGTAAAGGACAAAAGCCTTTAGAAAGCTAAATTAACTATGCTTTCATTTGAGTTTTAATTAAATGCTGTATTTGTAGAGCTTCAAAAATAATTTGGAAACTTTAAGTTTAATCTTCGTTTTAAATGCCGTCATTAAGTATCAGTGAAAGTCAGCATTTAAATTTTTTTTTTTTTTATTAATCTGAGCTGGAAAGGATATCTGTAGCAACAGGCAGCTGGCTTGTACACAATGATCAGATCATCGTTGTGCAGTCACACGCATTGTTGTGTAGTAAGATGCCCCTTAGCTGCATGTGATACTGTTGTGGAGTCATTACTGGTAGAAATGCTAACTCCTTAGCTAGAGACTGTAGCATCTTAGTAAGCTTAATGCTTACATGTATTTTGCAGTAAAAATATAATCAGAAAACTAATATTACAGGTAAAAGATATCTAAGCAACCTCTTTTTCAGATAGATTACTGAAAATAGTACCTGGTAATAATAATGAACTTATGGCAGAGTAATGATTTTGCACTTTATTGTATTTATGTACATACCTGTGATACTAAGCATTGCCCTACCAAAGCAATATCCCTATTTCAGTTTATTTAAAGATTGTCAATACTGTTATGTGGGATAAGTATTAATGGTTTTCCAATAATGTTAATATAAAATTTCTTTGCTCTTCAGCCAATGAATGAAATGGTGGCTAATTTCATATAGACTTTACAGATGAAACAAGTTTTGAAAGAGGAACTGACTATAGTTAGCATGTGCTACCAATACAAAACATCAGTGGGGTCTCTCGTTTATCTCGCCCAAAATCACTTGCAGGGTTTCTGCCAAAAAAGTTTCTGTAGACTCTTGAACGGTGTACGGATCCATAAGAGCTTGATAAAAAAGTTTGTTTCGATCTATAGTTAGTCCTTCAGTTTTAGAGGCAGTATTCCTTGTGGATTTTCACTGGGAAGGCAGGCTTTAATAAAATGTATTCAAATCTAGCTTTAAATATTGGGTGGCTGCCACTGCTCCATTATAAATCCAATTGAAATGTTTCATGTGTGTGAAGCAAAATGATGTAATTGTTCAGCTTATATAACTTTTTAATGTGCTATATGATTTTTATAAGTTCCCTTGAAATCTTACTGGGTTTGTAGAATGTATCTACTATATACTTAATAATTTATCTCTGACAGGTTATGGAAGACATTTCATTTGGAGCAGAGGGTCATTTATCTGAGGTAAGTGTTTTCTAGGCAGTATAAAGTGGTGATATTATACAGACTTTTCTGGATCTCAATTAGAACTAATGACACTTTTTTTTTTGTAGTATTACCTTTGGGTAAAAATTGCTAGAGAGTGTGCAAGCACTTAGAAAAGCAATACAGGCACAAATGGAGTGGGCACATTCTTTTTTTTCTATTGAAGATAATGGCAAAATTGCTGTGTATTTCAGGGAGTTTATAGTTAAATCCTAGTTCTTTATATAGTGCTAATGTTTTCAATACATAACAACAAGAGGATGAATATGTGGGGAAAAGCAGGACCAATAATATTTAGCCAGCCTCACTGTAGCACTGTAATGATGCTCAGGAATGGAACAAAATCACGATGCTTTACTAGTTTCCTGTGTACTGCTAAAAATACCTTTGACTTGACTTTTGAAGTGTAAAAGCATACTGCACAAGAATACAGCGTAATAGGAATTTCATCTGAATAAAAATACTCGATGTTTGTCATTTTACACTATGTTAATAAATAAAAAGATGTCAGATCCTAGTCTATATATTTAAGAAAATCTAGGATAATTGAGTAACATGGGATGCATTTCCTGTGAGAGTAAGTGATGAGAAAAATCTGCTTATAAACAAAAATCTGTCTACATACAAACTAAGAGTTTAGGTAGTATATGTATAAGGAGAGTTATACTAGTTCCAAGAGCTGTGCTGATTCAGTTTGGTCCATTTATATATTGGTATGCCTTGGGCTGCGACTTACATATTAAAGGAATTTAGTATCCAAGCATTGTGTCCAGCCAGCAAGTTAATTACACGGGTAAGTAACCCCCAGTTCACCTTCCATAATAGCATACATGCCACCTGTCAGGTACAAGTGACAAGTGCTGAGCCTAGCAAATATTAAATAAATAAATAAATAAAATTTGCAGTTTGGGGTAACTATTCAGATGAGGCATTCCTTTGTATTCCCACCAATGAATCCAAAGACTGTGCTGCTCAAGGTAGTCTCACTGCAAGACCAGACTCAGATTGTTGACCTTGTGTACAAGGAGACTGTGATGTGAGAGCATGCCTAGGATGGACTGCTTGGCTGCGTGTGAGTTCAGCATAAATAAAAACAGGAAGCCTTGAGAATGAAGGTGAACTTTGCAGAAAATGCTAATAGCCTTTCTTATCAGTGAACTGTGCTGTGAATTAAAGCAAAACTGTGCAGGTGCTTGTGTCCGTAGATGACATGAAATAGGGGAGGTAGTCCCATGGGATAAAGGTAGCAAAAAGCCCCGTTGCCAGTAGGGCGAAATACTGAGGGCATGTTGGTACTGATAACTGCCAAGACAGCAGAATATTTGGTGGAAACCAGAAATTGCCTATGGTCCAGACCAAAGCAAATGGGAGTACAACTGCATGCTTGAGTGCGGCAGTGACCTGCACTGAAAGCTGTAGTACAATCCAGCCCTTGACTGAAGAAGTTGTTCTTTTGCTTAACAGGAGATGTGCCCAGAGCATGTGAGTATGGTGTGTGTGCCGGGTTTACAACTGCATCAGAGCTCACAGGTATAGAGGGCTGCCACTGTAGTTCACTAAGAGCTTAATATCTAGAGCCCTCAAAAGCAGAACAACTTTGCCCTTTGGAAGTTTTGAAGGGAAGAAAAATGCATAAAGAGAATAGAGAGCAACGAAACAAATAAAGGAAATGGAAACTTGTTAAAAAGCCAGGCTTCTCCACACTGCCACAGCTGGATTGATGTTGACTTGTAGACAGCTCCATAAAAGCTCTGTGAAACTGTCAGCACCCTGTACCATGTCAAGGCTTTGCCTAAATGTTCCTTTGATGCTCTGGTCCCCTAATCCACTCTTGTCAGAATCCTCGCTGCCTGCAGGAGAGCACCCTGTTAGTCATTCCAGATTTTTGCATCTTAGTGACTCAGTAGCAGAGATGGGAGTGAACAATAGTCGGAACCACCTATAAATGATACCCAGCTCTACCGACTCCTAGCACAGCAGGGTGTGGACACTGGAAAACAGTTTGGTGCTTTTCTTTCTTTTCCAAGTTCTGGCCCACTGTGAATTTTTATTGGTAAATCAGTAAATAACCTCATCCTCCCACAACAGGAACTGGAATTGTCCCAGTTTTATTGAATGAGCCAGTGAAGTAGTCTACACTGATTTTAGGAATTTTCACTCAGGGAAGATCTTCAGTCTGCTAGAGTTGTGAATGGGAAGACTGCTGTCACCCAGACCGTAGCAGGGTGCTGGAAGGCAGTGGAAAGCTCTGTTCCTGCATAGATGCTTTTCCAAGAACACTCCTCCATAACTATAATGGAAGATACATGAGGGGAAGAATTGCCAACATCAGGCTGTAATTTTGATAAGTCATTTAACACTCCAGTGTGGTGTTGTATCCCTGCGGAGGAGGGAAGAGGATCAGTGCAAGCAAAGGGAATGTGGAAAAAGCATGTGATGGTGGGGAGGAGGTAGGTCACAGTTGCACAACATCTGTCTGGAAAGCTTTATGCCTGAATTGTTGCATATGAGAAACTGAGGAGGGTGTTGTAGTGCTACAGACTCCTAAATATACATAAACAGGCTGAAGGAACAAGCTAGCAGTCTGTCAGTGGAAGGTAATATGAGCAAAAGTAATTAGGAAACAACCTTGATGCCTCTTCTGAGAAAAAGTGGATAACTACCTCCATGAAAAAAAACTCACCTAAACAAAATCAGGCAAGCAACAGATGAGTTTCTGTGGGACCAACTCTGTAGGAGGAGGAATCAGCAGATGATCTTTGGTACCCTCCAGAAGACATCATATTTATAGCACAGCACCATCTTCTTTTGGTGCAGAAGAGAGCAAATACAGTAACAGACTACATGTCTATGTGAGCAACTCTTCAGTGGCCCAAAAGAATTTTGAAATGGTGTTGTAGTGTAACCCGGCTGACAATTTCTAATAAGAAAGGTGAATTAGAAAATAATGAAATGAGAGTAGAAGGCAGAAATATTTTTTCCCCTTTTTTCTTTGCTTTTTGTCTCGCTAAAAATGATAAATTCTGTCCATATATGTAGTGCTCATAGTGTTCACTACAAGGTAGCAAGAGACAAATACAGTAAAGAGTCCTAAGGCAAGTGAGATGCACTCAAGTCAGGCTAGACTGATGAAATTTCTTCTGAGTGCATAGGAGCCAAGAAAAACAATCTCCAAACCATTAACAAGCTTTGAAAACTCCTAGAGGAAGCTTGAAATCCCAGGGGGTCTGTAAAAGGCAGAGTTGATATTTGCCTTTCACAAGGAGGTAGGCCAGGAGTTTATGTGCCAGTCAACATAATTTCAATTAGGATTAGAATTCCAAACGCTCTTGATAGGTTGAAAGAATAGCCTGAAATCAATAACATGGGATATGTTAAAAGGCAGGTGAAAATTACATTTGAGGAAGAAAAGATGTTGAATTTCTGTATACAAATGGTAAATAGCAGCTGAGATGGCAATACTGCAGAAGCAAAATCTAGGGTTGTAGTAGACTGCAAATAGAGTGGGATTCATTACCGTCATCCTGTTGCAAGAAAGGGCAAATATCATTTGCAGCCTCGTTAATGGGAATATCAGTTGTAAGACAGAAATAATTAGTGTGCTTGGCTTAGAATATCGATGCCTCAAGAGGACCACAGCACTGGTCTGGCCACCTCACTCTCTAGAAGACAGAAACACTCTGAAGAAAAGAAAGGAAAAGAATAGAAAGAAAAGCTTTAAAAATCCTGGTCTGATTGAAAGTCAGTCTTCAATCACATTAAAAAAAAAAAAAAGATAAAGAGGACAATGGTTAGTTATCAGTGAGTGCTATGTAAGGGTAAAATGAAATCATAGAATCATGGAACAGTTTGGGTTTGAAGGGACCTTAAAAGATCATCTAGTTCCAACCCCCCTGCCACCTTCCACTAGACCAGGTTGCTCAAAGCCTCATCCAGCCTGGCCTTCAACACTTCCAGGGATGGGGCAGCCACGACTTCTCTGGACAACCCGTTCCAGTGCTTCACCACCCTCATAGTGAAGAATTTCCTCCTAGAGTCTAATGCAAATCTTCCCTCTTTCATTTTAAATCCATTACCCCTTGTCCTATCACTACATACCCTTGCGAAAAATTCCTTCTTGATTTGTAGCAAGGGAAGTTTGCATTAGGAAAGCTTGCTCACTGCATGGGCAGTTTAGCCCCAGAGCAGGCTCTGCCCTGCAACCAGAACTGCAAAATCCCTGTCAGCTGCCAAGACCTGTGTAGACAGACACCAGCTGAGGACAGTGACAGTGGGCTTGACCTCACTGCAAGTCACAGAGCAGGCTTTGGTGGTCCCTGGTTGTTTCCTGGTCAGCCTTGCCATGATGGTAGGGTGGTGTTGATCATGAGTAACGTGTTATTTTCAGAGTAAGAGATTAGGCAAGTTCTCAGTGGCCACTTTGCCCTCCTCTTCTACGACACCTACCCAGGACAGTGCATACAGGGCAGGAAATCTAGGATACAGAGCAGGGACAGATGCTTCCTCCACCTACACTTTGGAGACTTTTTGGCCCTGTAGCTCATTATCTGAGGGCACATGCGCTTTGCCTGCATGTGACTGAAGCATCTAAGCATCTGCTCAAGCAGGACAAACGTATGGATGGTTGCCTTTTGTTTCTAGAAATTATTTAAGAGATACCCTGGCCTGAATTTGTGGAGTTTCAAGTGCTCCCAATTTCCACTGACTTCTGCAAGGGTGGAGGGTAAGCATGCAGCACTTGTACCAACAATAAGTCACTGTTCTAAACCTTGTGCCGTGAAGTGAAGTATCTGTCTGCAAGGGCAGCTTTTCCTAGACATTGTTTATGTTATTTTGAATGATTTTAACTATCATAGGAGAGAGAGGATTTAGTACAGGTGAAATAAATATGGCTTTGATGTTCTGCAGAAGGTCTTCTATGGCCTTCTAAGATTTTACATGTCTTATTGTGATCATAATATTGCTAGTTTGAAGTAAGG